CCATTCGGGATATTTCACTTCCCGAATCGACCCTATTTTGAGAAGTTTAGTTATATTATCCTTTATGAATGCGTGCTTTACCTCGGACTGGGGCCTTCTCTTTTGCTTCACTGGTTTGAACCTAGGGTCAAGGCTTAGCCGATGCATTGTTATCTCCGGTGGGATACCTGTCATGTCTAAATGGGACCAAGCGAAATAATCCATGTTATTAATAAAAAATTGAATAAGTTTTTTCCTGAGTTTGGGAGTTAAACTCGTTCCCAGGTAACCTTTTGCTCGGGCAGGTACTCGATCAATATAACCTATTACAGCTCATCGACCGTTGATTTGGTGGCATCAGAATCTTCGGGAACAATAAAAGTTCGAGTTAGAAAATCCTCTTTTTCTTCTTCTTCTTCTTCTATCCCCTTCTTTCCTGATTCGGTCAAGGCTGGTGGATTTGATTGCTATTTGGCTTCCTGTTTACCTTTGATGCTCGACCTTTCCGAGGTTGATATCATTGTTACCTCATCGATAGCAAACATTTCCTTTGTGGCATGCTGCTTCCCGTATACTATTTTTACACCGTCCGTCGTCGGGAATTTCATCATTTGGTGGAGGGTCGAGGGGACTGCCCTCATGTTGTGGATCCAAGGCCTCCTGAGTAGGGCATTATACCTCATATCACCCTCGATTACGTGGAATTTGATATCTTGAATGGTTCCAGCCATGTTCACCAGTAAAATAATCTCCCATTTAGTTGTTTTGTTGGCCATGTTGAAGTCGTTTAAGACCCAAGCTGAGGGCACGATTTGATCTTGTAGGCCAAGCTACTCCACGACCCTCGATTGAATGATATTTGTTGATCTACTTGGATCCACTAAAACACGCTTAACTTTAACTTTATTTAATAAGATAGAATTACCAGAGCATCGTTGTGGGGCTGAGAAATGCCTTCTGCTTCTTTATCGTTGAATGATAAGGAGCCTTTGGGTACATAATCTCGGGTTCGTTTTTCCCTAGTGATTGATACCTTAGTGCGTTTGAATATGGGTCCCTGTGGAGTGTCGACCCCTCCAATGATTATATGAATGACATATTGAGGTTCCTCCTATTCAGTTTTCTTGTTGGCGTCCCTTTCTTTTAAATGATTCTTGGTTCAATCGCTGAGGGACTCTCGAATGTGGCCCTCATTGAATAGACGGGCTACCTCCTCTCTTAATTGCCTACAATCCTCGATCTTGTGGCCATGCGTGCCATGATACTTGCACATCAAATTTGGGTTTCTTTGGGAAGGATCGGTCTATATGGGTCTAGGCCACCTAGTATCTTTGATCCTTCCGATTGCCGATACAATGCCCGATGCGTTAATGCTAAAGTTATATTCTGATAACTGAGGTGCCTCTATGGGATCGGCATGCTTATCAAAACCACTTTTGCCCATAAGTCCCCGAGAATTCTGTCCTCGATCACTTTTACGATCATTCCGGGCGGAATTGCGTCCTGAACCATTGTTCCTTCGATCTGCGGTATATGGTTGATATCGTTCTCTGTTCGACCTTGGCTCTATGTCGATGTCCTTCGGGGATTTAGCTGCCAACCTATTTGGATATACTGAACCGGAAAGGGATCCTAATTGGTCGTCCTCGACCCTGATCTTCGATTGATATCGATTGTGCACATCTACCCAAGTTACAGCTGGATACTCGACTAAATTTTATTTCAACTGTCATGATGCTATCGATCTCCGCTCGTTCAACCCTTGGGTGAAAGATTGAACGGCCCAATCATCTATGACCGGTGCAACTCCATGCGTTCCATTTAAATTCGGGATACGAACTCCCTCAGCATTTCGTTATCCCTTTGTCTTATCTTGAAAAGGTCTGATTTTCTTGTTGCAACCTTTATGGCCCCGGTGTGTGCCTTCATAAAAGAATATGCTAACATGGCAAATGAGTCGATGGAATTTGGTGGCAGGTTGTGATACCAAATTATTGCTCCCTTTGATAAAGTTTCCCCAATTTTTTTAACAAAACGGACTCAATCTTATCATCTTCTAAGTCATTTCCCTTTATTCCGTATGTGTACAAAGTGATGTGTTCATTAGGATCAGTGGTCCCGTTATATTTAGGTATATCCGGCATACGGAACTTCTTAGGAATGGACTTCGGATCCGCACTTTGAGGAAAAGGCTTCTGCACGAACTTTTTCGAATCCAAACCCTTAGGATTAAGGGTGCCCCCCATATTTTATTAACTCGAAAGTTGTATGTTCCCACTTTTTTATCATTATCCTCGATTTTCTTCTCTCCTGACTCGATTCTTTTGGTGAGCTCCTCGAGCATCTTTATTATTGCAGGATCAGTCCCTGATTGGTTACCATTTGACCTTTCTGGCACTGGCTCGGTACAGTGAGTGATTTCTGGCTCGACCCCACTTGGAGTTCTATGTTGATTTTGCAACTGAGCGATAGCGGCCTGCTGAGCATGTAGCATCTCGAATATCACCTGGAGAGTAACTCCTCTGTCTCCTCTGTCCTGTGTACCTTGACCACCAGATTGGCCTTCCCTGCATACACTCTCTTCGGGGTCCGCCCCTAGGTCCGCATTTAGAGTAACATATGAACTGATATCGACTGGATTGGCAACTGGTGCTCCTCCGAGATTAGCCGGTGGTACCCCAGCTCCTGGAGCAATTATATTGTCATTTTCTCCGTGAAATTCGAGACCATCATCACCATGTACAGGTGCGTTTTGTGAGTTTGACATGTTTTAACCTGAAAGCAAAAATACTTGACAAGAACAAGTATGAAATAACGTATGTTATCAGAATCAACACTGAAACAATCACTATTATCCTTATCCCCACGGTGGGCGCCAAACTGTTTACCCTAAAATTCAAGTAACAATTAAACTTATATTGTGGTTTTAAGGATATGTGGTTCAATCCAATGCCAATTGATAAACAAGGAACTAAATAGATAAATTAGAGAGTAAAATGAATCAAACCAGTGTGCAAGCCAAATCTCGACCTCGACCTATGATATTCTCGAGGTGCGATAATAGGAATAGCAAATGATAAAGCAACTCTAATGAACAGTAAGTGGAATAGCAAGAAAGTAATGAACGTGCATTTTCTTGCCAGTGAACAACTATCCTACAAATGGATGGGATCCCCCTTTATATAATAGGGTAGTCCTAAATAAGGTACGCTTAATTGTAATTATAGTAGAAAATCATATTTGACAACTGATTGACCGCCGAAGACCAATCCATTCCGAAATTCACGTCATGATCTGTGGTCTGTTGCAGGTATCTCTCTCTCTCTTTCTGTTACTGAATCATACCTGCATCATCTCGAAGTATCCTTCTTCTGACCTCGGTAAGTGATATCGACCTCGACCTTGGAAAGGAACTTCGACCCCGAGCTTGACGTCCCGGTCTTTCGACATGGTATTACTTTTTTCATCAAACTACAAAATCGGATAGCCCCAATTTCCACCGTATACAACAATCACGTAATCAAGCCATGGAATCTCTTCTAGAGTTCACATTCGGAAGAATTGAGTTATTAATCAAAGTATTGGCTAAAACACCAAATAATTAAAAAGATTAAAAAATGGCCAAGACATCACTAGCTAAAGAATGATAAAACATGCTTCCTTCATTGATGCATGACTCGATCTGAAGTAGAATCAAGTCTACTTGGACTTATTAATAACTCAAATAAAGGATGACTAACTTATTTTTATTATTATATGGCCTTTGGTTATGGACTTATGATCAACATGCTTGTTTATGAAGGAGGTGTGGTTTCAATATTTTAAAAGAATTTAACTTCAAAATATATCCAAATACGTTTGCAAAAAAATCATTTCTCTTAGTTCGCAATCCACCTCTTTAAACCTAAAACCTATTTTAGACAACTCTTCAAAAGTATTTTCTCAAAATATTTCTCGAATACGTGAAAAATTCTAAAAAAGAAATTTCCAAAAAAATATTACCAAATTTTTTTGTTTACCCTTAAAATTGGATAATAATTAAACTTATAATGTGATTTTAAGGACACGTGATTTCACCTAATACCAATTGATAAATATAAAGATTAGTAATAGGAATTAACAATAAGATTAAGCAAACCTGTGTTTGAATGGAATTCAGCCCTCGAGCTCGGATACCCTGAAGCTGATGAGTATAAGAACAGTTAAAAATATAAACGAGCTGATGAACAAGAGTATAAATTAAAGAGAAAGTGTTATATTGCACTTATATGTCAGAGTGTAAGTGTCCTACAAATGATTGAGACTCCTATGATCTTTATATAGTAGAGGAATCCTAACTATGGTATAACTCTAATTATAGAAAAAAATCCCATGATTAGCTAGTTAACCGTCCTCGATTTGATCCGTTCCAAGATTTTCGCCATGATCTCCGATCAGTCACAGATATCTCGTCTTTTTGTTATTATGCTACCTTCGATCTTACTCGATGTCTGTCTCATTTGGTTTCAATCACTACCGGCCTCGATCTTGATAGTTTCCTCGAATCTCGAACATGGTACCTTGTCCTCGTGCCTCGATCTGATCTATTACGAGATCAATCTTCGATCCTTCACACGGGTCTCGATAAATTAGTAAAATCGGGTCCGACTTTAACCGTATATAGATAGTCCCCTCATTTTTGGAGTGTAATGACAAGAAACGAATTGAGCCTTCGATCCTAGACCTGTCATGACGTCATTCCCGTAACGTAAGCAGCAGATGTGACCAAAACGTCCCGTCGGCGTAGTTCTCCAGACATTTAATGCATGCCATAGTCGGCCACTAGTGGTTTTGAACCATCGCCTTAAAACCCATAAATAGGCCCTTTTCTCATTGATTCAAATTTTACTTTCAATTTCTTCCAATCTCCAAAGCTTTTTACATCTTTTAAGTTTTTCCATTCTGCATAATCTACAGCTTTTGTTATCAACCTTCTCTCAAAACACCAAGTCTTATTCTCTTCTTCTTTTTTCAAACCCAAAATGGCGAAAACTTCCAAAATTGTGCCGCAGAAAGAAAAAGCTTCCTCGTCTAAGCCGGTCAGCGCATAACCAGCGGCGGAGCCACTCCCTGAAGAATTCTTTCCTCTATTATGTGTCCTTGACTCCGATTTCAAATTTGGAAAGACCTCCTCGGTTCTGGGCCGATATGAGCCGATGTCTAGGTACATATGCACAATCACCATTGGCTTTTTAAAGCAAGTTAAAAAGGACTGCAACTAGGTAGACAAACACGTGGTGGTGCCCTCACCCGAGGAGTCAATCACTACGCATGTGGAGGGGTTTTTGAGTGTTAACCTTGTGGTCATGGGTTCGAGCCCCACGATGGGCGCTAAATTGTTTACCCTTAAAATTGGATAATAATTAAACTTATAATGTGGTTTTAAAGACACGTGATTTCACCTAATACCAATTGATAAATGTAAAGATTAGTAATAGGAATTAACAATAAGATAAAACAAACTAGTGTTTGAATGGAATTCAGCCCTCGAGCTCAGATACCATCCAGCTGATTGGTATAAGAACAGTTAAAAATATAAGCAGGTTGATGAACAAGAGTATAAATTAAAGAGAAAGTGTTATATTGCTTTTATATCTTAGAGTGTAAGTGCCCTACAAATGATTAGAACTCCTCTTTATATAGTAGATGAATCCTAATTATGGTATAACTCTAATTATAGAAGGAAATCCCATGATTAGCTAGTTAACCGCCCTCAATTTGATCCGTTCTGAGATTTTCGCCATGATCTCCGACCAGTCACGGATATCTCGTCTTTCTGTTATTATGCTACCTTCGATCTTACTCGATGTCTGTCACATTTGGTCTCAATCACTGTCGGCCTTGATCTTGACAAACACCTCGAATCTCGAAGTCGATACCTTGTCCTCGTGCATCGATCCGATCTATTACGGGATTGATCGTCGATCCTTCACACTGGTCTCGATAAATCAGTAAAATTGGGTGGGCCCGATTTTAACCGTATACAATTTTTCCAGAAACTTTTTCAACATCAACACAATGGCGGTCTAGTACTTCTATATTATTTTATTTTATTTAAAAAGGATAAATTACTTACCCTTACTTTGTGTGAGATAGAAAAACTGTCATAAATAATTTAGGTTAACAGATATACGTAATTGCCTATGATAATTTTAATTTAGTAACACAAATACAGTAAATAATCTGATATAATTAGTTAGAAACACTAATAACATAAAAAAATGTTCGTCTTTAAGTTTTTTGCAGTGATGATATCAAAAGTGTTTGTATTATCAGATCATTAATTAAGTAATTATTGGTAAAATCATTTAATAAATATTAATTAACTAATAATTCAGTAAACTTTGTAAGCTATACTCTTTATTACAATTTAAAATCCACTGGTATAAATATATTAATGAAACTTGACTTCTGAGTTCTTAGCCAAAATTGACGAAATAAAATGAAAAAGATTCTAATTTTTTGTCTTAAATGAAATGAGTGGACTAAAATCGGCAGTATTCTAATAAATAGATAGTATGGTAGAAAGAAAAATTTATCTATTTCTTTCTACCATACTATTTATTAGTTAAATTGTAGTTATAAAGCAGCCCCTTGGAATAAAATGAAGATAGAGGTTATGAAACTTAAATCCAAATATTAATAGTGCATGTATATAAGTTACAATCGCATTTCTCTCTTCCTACGTACTCCTTAAACTATTCATCCCTACAATTTCTATCTCATCTAATAATCACCAAAAATGGATGAACTAATATTTCCCTCATCATTTTCGGCCTCAATTTCTCAAGAAAACCAGCCATCAACATTTCAACAAAGGCTTCAATATATTCTAAAAAGTCAAACAAATTGTTGGGCTTACGCCATTTTCTGGCAAACCACCTCTAATAAAGACAACAATGGAAGTTTTTTCTTAACTTGCGGTGATGGCCATTTTCAGGGAAGCAATAAAGACGTAGAATGGTTCTACGTGTTGTCTCTGGCTAAGTCTTATTCTGGTAATGAAGGGGTTATTGGAAAAGCTTTTACTAGTACTGCTTCTTTTGTGTGGCTAACTGGGGCACAACTACTTCAGTTTTGTAGCTGTGAAAGGGCTAAAGAAGCTCAGTACAATGGCGTTAAAACTCTTGTTTGTGTTCCAATTTCAAATGGGGTGCTTGAATTAGGCTCGAGTGATATAATCAAAGAGGATTGGACCTTGGTTCAACAAGTCAAGTCTTTGTTTTGTTCAGTGCAAGAAAATGGTCCAATGAACTTTCTTGATCAAAATACCATTTATTTTGCTAATTTTGATTTTGTTACCGGCATGCAAAAGGATGTTCAAGAATCAGACAACAGTAGCAAAAAGGTAGCTACAACGAGCCATGCTTCATTCCTAGATTCAGAGCTATCGAATTCAGATTGCCAATTACTAGAATATCCGGTGCAGAAAAGCCGAGTTGGATCTAAGGTGGATTCTGAAATTATTGCTTTCAACTCTCTCTCTATATATACGATTAACATTAACCTCCGTCTATATACAACAACAAATCCAGTATAGTTCCACAAGTGTGGTCTGGGTAAGGTAGATAGTAACCAAACTTTACCCCTACAATGTAGAGAGGTTTTTTCCTGTAGACCCCCTCGGCATGAGAAAAAATGAGAAATCGTTCTTCTCGTTTTGCTGAAAAAAGTCTTCTATGGAGAACTTTTCTAACCAAATGTCATAAATTACTTCTTAGTGAAAATTGTTTTTCTAGAAATTAAATGACTTTGGACACATCAAACACGTTGTAATTAAGAAATAACTCATTCTGAACGAGCTGACTTTAAATTATGAATTCGCCTTGCAGATCAGAAGGACCTACAGGAAAAGGGGAAGAAAGCATGGAGTAGATTGCGACAAGCAAATGAACCACGTAGAGGCGGAGAGGCAGAGGAGGGAGAAACTCAACCACCGATTCTACATGTTGCGCTCGGTGGTTCCACAAGTTACGAGAATCGACAAAGCCTCATTGCTATCAGACGCTGTGGCCTATATCAATGAACTCAAAGCCAAAGTGGATAAATTGGAGTCAAAACTTCATACAAACTTGGAGCTCAAGAAGAAACCGGAAATGGAACACAATGACGCTGTGGACAACCAAAGCTCTACCAATTCGGTGGATCACGTAAGCCCTTCTCCAATTTGAAAATAGTCTAAAACTAGGGATATGTTTTATACAAATAGTCGGGCAGATTCACAATTTACTTTTTTTAGCCGGTGTACATAAATTATAGGTATATTATATATCCGCCGATTAAAGATTATACGCATATGATATTAAAGATTCATAGGGCTTATGCCCAATATCTCGAGGCTTACACCTCACCCCATATCAGATTAAATACTTCGCTTTGTGCATGCGCCTTTTAAAACATTGCTTTTTAGAGAAGGGTTGAATTTATAGAGTTGACACAAAAAAAAAAATTGAGAATGGTTATTTTATTTCATGAAAAGACATGTTCATGTCATATGTTAGAAACAATCTAACATAATTTTCTGCAATATTTCGACCCAAAAAAATCCGACATTGAAGGTTGAAGTGAAGATGATAGGTCCAGACGCCATGATTAGAGTTCAATCAGAAGATGTGAATTACCCATCAACAAGATTGATGTGTGCACTTCAAGATCTTGAACTGCATGTCTACCATGCCAACATCTCAAGTGTCAACAATATTGTGGTTCAGGATATAGTGATCAGAGACGTTCCTAATAAGGGATTGAAAACTGAAGATGGATTAAGAGCTGCTATTCTTAGAAGCTTAGAGCAAATAGAGGACTGTTGATAATTGCCTTGTCGTTTAGTTTTGAGCATGTACATAATTTTTAATTTCTGTCTTTTCTTATTCTTTTTAGTAACTAAAATCCTTCTTCAGTATCTAGCGTTTGTACTATAACTGTGTGATAATCCTTGTATAGTAAGCTTTGTTCAACTTAATGGGATGCACATTGCTGCATGTTCTTATATGTGGTTTGTTTAGTTCGGATACCAAACTTAAACGAGCACGCGGTGTAAAATTGCAATGATAGTGTCATGTCTTTTTTTAATGATCTACTATTCGGAACTATTTGGTGTGTGATTCGACAGGACATATATAGCACAACTTTAGCTTACTATGGACATGACCCTTGATAGGAGGATGTGGGAGGTCGAAGATTAGGGTAAAAGGTTAGGGCGTAGTTGAGTTTATTCATCTCCCATACTCGTGGCAGTAGTATTATTCTTGTATTTTTATTCATAGATTTATATTTTTACCTGTTATCTCTTTCGCTTCACTTATTTTACTATATCACTGTTGTTACTATTTGTTGCTATTGCTCCTTTTCATTTTGCCCTTGAGCCGAGAGTCTTCGAAAACAATCTCTCTACCTCCACAGGGTAGAAGTAAGGTCTGCGTACACACTACCCTCTCCGGACCCCACTTGTCGAATTTATAAGGGGTATATTATTGTTGTTGATCTACTATCCAGAATTCACTAGTTCAACTAATTTGAATTTGTGTCATATAAACCAATTCAGAAAGAAGTGCTTCCAAGTTCCAATTAGAGATTTTCCTCAATTCCAAGGTTTCAAACTCGAAACCTCTAATAATAACGTGTTTATCCTGCTTGTTTATCCTGAAATTGAATTTAACTTATATGCATTAGTAGTGCAAAATATTTACGCATATATGGTTAAATTGTGGAAAACAACATGTAACTTAGGGGTGTTCATAAAAATCCGAAAAACCAAATCAAACCGACAAAATCGATACTTTTTGGTTTGATTTGGTTTTGGTTTTGAAATTTAAAAACCTATCAAATTTGGTTTGGTTTTGGTTTTAGTCAGAAAAAAACCGAACCAAACGGATTATAGGAGTAGCTATTTCAAATTTATTATTACACCGATATATATATATATATATATATATATGTATATTTTTATACAAAGTTTCAAATTTTTTATGGTAAATGTTAATAGTTTGCACTTTTAGTATAGTTCTTTACATTTACATTCTAGTTCGATTGGTAGTTTTCTTTTGTTAAGTGTAAGAATCCATTTCGTGTTAAACATAATATATTTTTAATTGAGTCCTTAAATTATTCATCACTATTTGATTCAATTATCATCAACATATCTTGGTAAATAATAGATTTCTCAAAAGGCAATTGATTTGATAGTGTTACGTTGAAAATGTGGTCACCGGAATATGTGTTTGGTAGTATATGTCTTATATTTAAGAAAAAACTGACAAATAACCAAAAAAATCGAAAAACCGACAACCCGACATAAACCGAATCGAGAAAAAACTAACTTAATTGATTTAGTTTGGTTCTAATATTTAAAAAACCGACTTGCTTGGTTTGATTTCTTTTTTGAGAAAAATCGATCCAAACAAATCATGAACACCCCTAATATTGTAACTGATTATAAATAAGCCTAATGCCGTAGCTTTATATTAAAAAATAAATGTGGCCTGCTTTAATAGATAAAAGTACGTACACTAATACTGCAATTTTTTTTACAGTATATTCGCATGGATTCCCCTTTTTCTACGTTCACGAGGATGTAAGAAAGGACTGTGAGGAACATGGACGTGCAATCCTGTTACCCGTGACCCCTCCGTTACTAGACAACTCTTCTTTTTTTTTTAAGCACTCCTTATCAAGAATTTTTTTATATTTAGAACTCGAGCTCTAGATCTCTAATTAAGATAAGAACAATCTCATCCACTGCACCAGTGCTAAGACAACTCACTAATCACATATTCATTTCTTTTAGTACCAATGTTTTTCCCAGCCAATTAAACATCGACAATGGGTTCTACCATTGGAAAACGACAAATTTACTCTCTTTTTTTTTTTTTACTTTATGTGATATACGTTCTTTTAGTACATTTTATTTTTCTTTAAAAATAATTTAACTTTAAAACTTTTTATTTTTTCTTTCGTGATAGATTTTTATATACCACATAAGTGTCTTGACATTTTAAAACCACAAATCCTATAAGTTTTTTATTTTTTTTCTTGAACTTTATGTCTGGACAAACACTATCATATAAAATAAGGCAAGCGAGTAGTCACATCACTACGTAATAGTCCACATTTAAGTTGGCCGTCCAGATTATGTGTTCATTCTACTAATTAACGTTAACCTTTTCTACAAAAAATCAGAAGTAGGTTAACTTCTTCTTTTTTCACAAGAATTTACAATATCTCTGGAACAGGGTATAAAATATGAAAATAAATGTCATTTCGTGCCAAATAAATAGGTTAACTTGTTTTGCCAATATCTCTGTCCTCTGCAAGAGAGAAGTGGCTGTCCTATAAATTTGGAACCACAAAAAAGTAATTAATTTTAATTAAAAGAAGAAAGAAAAAGAAAGAAGAAATACATCAGACTCATCTGAATTCGACAAAAGCTTAAACTTCAGCAATATTTGGCTGTATGCATTATGAGCAAACATGTGTTATAATAAACAACTCATAGACCTTGTCAATATTAAAGGACACTCCTAAATGTTTGGACTCTGGTTCGGGAATTAGTCCGGGTATTATTACTTTTATTTCGCGATAGAAATTATTTATATTGTTAGCAGAAAAAATATATAAAATTTATATATTTTTTGTCCGGCAACACATTCCGCTAGATAAATAACTAAGGAAAAAGAAAAACAATGATAAGTGTCCTCTTTTACTACGATTTCCCTCAACAACTTGGCCAAGTAATGGAACACTATAAACATCATATTTGAACGAGAGTGTGTTTTTTTTTGTTTATTTTTCTTTTTTGTTTTTTGTTTTTGCAATGGTAATACATACCCTTATGTTTCAACTGGTGTGAAACTTACTTAATTATTGGACATGAAATTTAAAAAATAAATAAAGATTTTTAAATACTTTATGCTAAATATATATGATAGTGTATGAGCTCCGGATGCTAAAAAAGAGATAATCCCTCTGTCCAATTTATATGACACACAATACTTCTCTTTAATTTGTTAATCCAAAAGAGTGTCAACTTTTTATACTCAGATTAAGCTAAGTTTTAAATTCTAATTTTTTTCTGAATGAGATGATTTATAATCATATAAATATCTAAGATTAATTTTAAACTACAAATTTCAAAAGTAGTTTCTATTTTTTAAATTTTTAAACGGTGCCACATAAATTGTGACGGAGTGAGTAACAGAATGCATTATATTACGTTGCTGGCAATTAACGTACAAGTTTACAAAAGTTAGAAGCTTTAAATATTATTCCTCAATATTTTAGAGGGAAGAACAACGTACCTTTTAAACGTGCATAATGACAAATTACTCACCTACATAAGAGTTTTCAAGTTTAAAAGATGAGTAAATTTCACTTGGACATCCTTAACCATTTGATTTTACAAAGTAAATACTTGACTTGCCTTTTGAATGAAAAACAATGATTGACTCCTTGTTAAAGTCAATGTAAGTTTTTGAAAAATTACAAAAAAAAACAACAACAACAACAGGCTGTTTCCAAATAGACCCCCGACATCCTTCCCTCCAAGAACTTCCCACATTGCTCTTGGGGAGACTCGAACTCACAACCTCTTGGTTGGAAGTGGAGGTTGTTTACCATCACAGCAACCCCTCTTGTCTGACAAAAAAAAAATCCCTCCATTATTTGTATTCTGACACGTTTTTTTCCAATAATGATAAATATTCACATGATTAAATTCTATACATATCTTCCTTCTCCTTTAACTCTCTTCTAAATTCCAATGCCTTATGTAAACAAATTGACTAACTTACCTTTTGTACAATAACACAATTCGAAAAGAAGCACGTTCAAAGTAATTTTAGTGAGTTATAAGAAGATCTATTTTAATCAATAAAATTGCAAATCATAAGACGTGAGTGTATTAAAGAGAAACGTTAACCTCATTGGAGGTTCTTGTAACCAAGCTTATTTAAAGATATTGAATCTAACTTTTTAATTTGTTCATTTTCCAAAAAGTGCAAGTATTTAATACTTTTTAATTGAGACAATAGAAGAGAGGTTATTTGGGCTTTACTTGGTTAGGTTGTAACTTGAAATAAGAAGGAAATTATTTTAGAACTAGTGAATATATCGCGCAAAGAAACTATAAGCAAATTAAAGAAATAATTTTTAAGAAATTTAGTCGAGATAGAATAGATAAAAAGTTTGATGTATATACATATAAATTTAATTTTATTTTATTGCTGAAATCACAAAAGATAGTACTCTACGAGTTTAAAGGCATTAACTCTAGAAGATTAGTCCCATCATCGTAATTTCTTGTGTGCTAAAAGGAAACAATGTCATTCCCATTAATAGTTAGGAAATTGCAGTTGCTATGAATCAAAAACTTCAGTAGGTATCTCATCAGAAAACAGCTTACTTGATTCTGGAATTGATCATGAATTATAATATGAATATATACTCAAGATATAGAGAGATTTTGGCCATCAACTTGCGGAACCAAACCACAAAAAACACTCAAGTCTTCCACATAAGCCAAATGAAGATAGAATCTCATAGTAAGCAATAAATAAAGTGCAAAATTTTCACAGGAAGTAATTCAAAGTAACCGACAGCTAGCCTGTCGCGATACATTCTGAAGTCAGTCTTTCAGCAAGGGCAAAAACAACTCACTTAAGTTAATATATATATATATATATATTGTATAACACCGTCCTGAATTTCAAATTGAAACAACTAATATTGCACAGAAGAGTACTAAAAACTGGCCAAAAACATCTTTCTCATGTAGCTTACTGTTAGGGCCTGACTTTTTGTCATCGGGCGTGGC